CAATCTTGAGCTATTTCTCTTATAACTCTAACACAGAATTAGAATCTCAGCCCCTAGAGATGCTCATTATATAGTGAGTGTTGTATTATGTGTTAGAATTCAAAGCATTCACTTTCAAAAGTGATAGCTCCAGTTGGGTCAGAAGTTCAAGTCCTAATATCCTATCCTTCAGATGTATTGCAATACAACTCTCAAAATCATCACTGAGCAAAGCAATGCTGACTGGGAATTATGGGTGTTATAGTTTATCACATTAAACATGGCAATATCCTGGGAAGATTGTCCAAGTGGTTTTTTTTTTTTAACTACACAATAGCACCAAATGCTATATTGTGTTAATTCTTTCAATTAAATATTCAATTCAGACAGGGAACTTAATAGCAATTTCTGTGAAAAGTTCATTCTTCCTTCCTAAATGAATTAACAGCTTGAGGGAGATAAAAAATAAAGATCCATCTCAGCTTATCAATAGGAATTTGCATTGTGTTGGGCACCTCTGCACTGATCAGCTCCAAGAAGCCGTAAAGAAATCAATACAAATGAGTGAGCATTTCCCACAGACAGATCTGATTAAACAGATTTTCTAATGTCCCTGCCTGAGTAATTTGTGCTTCTCACTCCAACAGAATTAACGTATCCTAAGAAGTTTGGACTGCAAGGTGTTCAAACCAGTCAATCCTAGAGGAGATCAACCCCGACTGCTCTTTAGAAGGCCAGATCCTGAAGTTGAAACTCAAATACTTTGGCCACCTAATGAGAAGGAAGGATTCACTGGAGAAGGGCCTAATGCTAGGAAAGATTGAGGGCAACAGAAGAATGAGACGACAGAGAATGAGGTGGCTGGATGGAGTCACTGAAGCAGTAGGTGTGAGCTTAAATGGACTCCAGAAGATGGTAGAGGACAGGAAGGCCTGGAGGAACATTGTCCATGGGGTTGCGATGGGTCAGACACAACTTCGCAACTAACAACAACAAAGAAGCTTAGAACATTTAAGCTGAATGTTTAGGTAAAACAAAAATTACACTAATTTTCCAGTTTTATACAACAAGGTAAATAAATGCCACTACATTCTAATCTTCAGTTCAGGATAAAGGAATGTCAATTAAGTTTTGCTGAACCAATATACCAAAAATACTTTGGGGGAGATATTTTTAAAGCCCATTCCAAATATTTTAATCTGAAATCCTAAATAGAAGAAAATTACTGTTTTGCTCCCTGCAGACCCCTCCCACCCCCACTACCTACAAGTTCATGGGTTATTTTTCTTTATTTGCTTAAATGAGAGGAGAAATATCACAGAAGCCGAACTGGATAGTAAGAAAGGCCAGGAATAGTAAATTGCTAAACAGGAAGGCCTTAATGAAGCAGTTAAAACAGTCGAGGTTTCAGGAGTGCCAACAGGGCATGGCCAAAAAAAGTAATGATGGGGATCTCAACAGTACAACTGAGACTCCGCCTTTTTTTAATCTGTAGGTTGTCAATCAGACTGTTGTAGCTACCACCTTGATTTTTCTGATCATGCCATGGAGGCAGCCCTACCATGTTTTCTGTTTCAAGGATCAAAACTGCAAAGGCTTTTTCTCTCATCTCCACTCGCTTCAGAAAGAAAGGTCTCTTTTAGAGTTCACAATGTATGTAGGCTAATATGGGAACAGGCCATCTCTAATGTAGCTGAGCTTTACCAAATGTTTGCATTGCTTTTTAAAAAAAAAACACACCTGCATTTCCACAAATAATATATACGGTAAAATCAAAATGCAAAATGAAAGCACTATATACACAAAACAGCTGCAAGGCAGGCTTAGCAGCAATACCCTCCACTTAGGAAACATTTCTCACAATAGTTATACAATCATACATATTGTATGGACCATAATTATCCTGCACAGAGTAAGGCTTATTTATTTATTTATGAGACTTATATACCGCTTTAAGTGCAAGCACTCTCTAAGCGGTGTACACCAGTAAGCAATGTATATATATATATATATATTTACATTGCCCCCAACAATCTGGGTCCTCATTTTACCTACCCCGGAAGGATGGAAGGCTGAGTCAACCTTGAGCTGGTCAGATTTGAACCGCTGACCTACTGAACACAGTCAGCTAAAGTGGCCTGCAGTACTGCACTCTAACTGCTGCGCCACCTCGGCTCTGAAGGCTCTGACTTCCTTAGAGACATATTTCTACTGGTTTCAACTCTACTGGAGTTAAGGTTTGGCATACTTGCTTTGTTCGCTTTTAAAGGAAAGAAGATAAACATGATGCTAAAATATAATAATGATCTCTGTACCGTGGAAAGCAAATCTCAAAATACATTTCAATGGGGCTTTTAACAACCCAATCCTGTTCACTGGTCTGTCTCATTCCTGATAAAATGACGATGACAATTTACTGTCGTTTAAAGATTCATTATACACCTGGAAAAGTATAAGAGCCAACGATGTCGCGCAACGTATCAGGCCGATTTTGCCATTGCCGGCAATGGGGTGGGCGTGGCTTCCACGTGACGCATCCGGCCTGCGGGCTGGCAGTTTGACACCCCTGCCTTATACCATTCCATTGAAAAGCCATCTGAGCCAGGAGCTTTTCCATTTTGCAACAAATCACTTTGCATCTTAAGAAGACAGAACTCTTGGAATAATTCTTCCAACAGGAATCCTTTATTAAGAGAAAATGGTTGCAGGCGTTCTAGACAGGACTTGGGGTCCAAGCTCTCCAATTCAAGGTTTTAAGGGTTTCCCCAGTAGCCCCACCCAATCAACCCCCTCTTTCAGTGACAGTCTCAGGCATTACACTTCCACCCCCTTTTTCATTATTGCCTGGCTGGATGGAGACTTCAAAGAAACTACATGAAAGGAAAACGGCCCCATTCTTATGGTTAGTTCTTTTGCAATACACACATTCAGTTCCTTAGAAGTATACTGAAGGAAGTGAGGGCCATCAAGCCCCTTTGTTCTCCCCCTTCTCTCCCTCTTATGGCAGAATCCAGAGAAGGCAGAATTGGGGTTTTCTATATTTGATAACTAAAGATGAAATATAATTGGATTCTGACACTTAACCCTAATCAAGCACCCCTATAATCCGAATAAAACTGCAGACTGAATCTGAAATAAGATTTGCTCAAATTTTAAAAATTCAAAATATATGCAAAGTCCAAACCATCAACAAGGATTTGTGATTAATTGAAGAGGCTGATTAAAATATATATTGCAAGAATTTTATATATTGCCATCTGATTGATTCATTGTTATTTGCACTTGCAACATTGTGCTTTTTATTACAGACACAATGGAATGGTTTTTGGCAGTATTCAGATTTACTTCTGATTTTGCCCAGCTATAAATTCTAGCTTAGTAGGATGAAAAATATTAAGGGGGCTTTTAGACAGTGCACTTTATTTGCACTGCACAAACAACATAGAGCAAAGATTATTTCAGGCTCTTATCTAATGCCATTTTTAGTAAATAAAGAAAAATGAAACACTTTTGAAGGATTAAGTAGTCAATCAATTTTGCTTTATCTATTTGGCCAGCTTTAGGTATGATTTACATTATAGGAGGAAAACGAGATAGAAAAGTCTATGAATACAGGTGATTTAACAATATGGTCCAAGGAGGAACACATGGATGCTCTTTCTCCATACAATAAAATGTTATTCTTTGGTCTGAAGTAGCAGCCCATCAGGATACTTACACATACATACATACAAATAAATATACAAAGGATGAACCTATGGACCTGCAGCTTCTGTCATGCCCAAAGAGCCCGTCCCATGATAAGGAATTTTTGGAACTGCAGTCCAAAAAATAGTAAAATAAAAATCTAAGCAACCTCCATACCACAGGTTTCTCATTCTGACTTTTCATATACAAATAAATAGTGGAAAGAAGAGCAAAGAGAAAACTAACATATTGGCAGTGGTTTCTGCAATACAAGATTATTTGTGAACAGTTTGGCAGAAGGAGAAGGAGAAGGAGAAGGAGAAGGAGAAGAGGTCTTATGGATGTAAGAAGCTAGACATTAGACAGGAAGGTTATGGAATGTGGAGGATGCAGTGATATGTGGATGGAGAAAGAAGAAAGAATAACACAAAGTTGCAAAGATCGTGATGATGGACAGCATTTGTACAATGTATGCCATGCACTAAATAAATGAACAAATGTATGATGTAGAGAAAGGAGACTAAAGAAAGAAGAAGAGGACATGGGTTATGAGCAGGACTGGAAATAATAAACATTGTTAATGTTTATTAATAAAATAAAGAAATTTAAGACATGCTATCAACATTTGAATTAGTTTCGTTTGCGGACAAAGGAGCAAAAAGATGAATTCTGAGCAATTTTGTTAACATTTCTGGAGGTTTTTAGTTTGTAACAAAACTTCCTGCTCCCCTTTCCTTCTCCTTTGGCTTTTTTATTTTTTTTTATTTTTGCTTTTTATTTTTATTATTATACTGATTAATTTTGTTGCTGTTCTGATTCCTTAATGTTGTCTGCATGTACACATTAGTTACATAATAAGAAAATATAAAATAGAATTAAAAATGAGCTTCAGGAAGAAAACAGGCTTGAAAAGAGCTTGATACTATTGCTCAATTTTCCCTTTTTAAAATTTTTTGTAGGACTGTGATTTTATTACTTTGTTGATTGTTTATCAGTTTGATATGAGGCCCAGCAGGAGCATCTGGTTGCGCTAAGTCCAAATTCAAAAAGTAATTGAGTACAATAAATATAATGAAAACCACTGAGCTACTGCATGGATCATGGAGCTACTCATGGATCATCCCTAATGTTCAGAGGACAAAGAAAATAGACCTTCCCACAAAAAAGAGGAAGGCATGGATGCTATTCACCAAAATTAATAATCTAGGGTAGAAGAGGGTTTAAAAAAATGCTACTGGGCAAAAAAAAAAACTCAACAAAATGGGATTTCTATATTAACAAACCCACATCTTTAAAATAAATGATGTTACTGAAAGAAAATGTGATCGTCCTACCTCAAGTTCATCGAGAGCACTTCCAAGAGAGGCTGACTGTGGCACCTGTTGAACTTTTGGAGGTTTAATTCCTTGAGAGGCATTGGAGATGACATCAAGAGCATTTTGTATTTCCTTACAAACGGAGTCCTTACTGGCCGTGAGAGAGGCGACATCAGAATGTTCCAAGCAAGCAGAGCAAACTGAATGCAGAAGAGGTGAATTCTCCCTCAAAGAAGCCCGAGCTGCTGCAATCTCATCTCGGTGACTGTTAGATTTTAAGTCCTATCAGAAAAGATAAGATGATTATTTTTAATATTAACCACGTGCACCTTTCAAAAATTATTCATACTATTCCAGAACAAGTATGATAACTCTGCTGTTTTTTAAGCTTCTGCTCAAGCATGGAAGGAAATGTCGTTGCTTCAAGAGGTTGACTTTTACAAGTTTCTCAGGCCCTAAAATGGACACGCCTGCTTTAAAGACACTTTCCATACAATTCTTGAAACATGCACAGCTGGGATCATTTTTTTTCAAACAAGTAATTTGTAACGAATTATTTCAATTTGTTCAACCTTTTTTTGGTAATAAATTAAATAAAAAGTGCTTATTAACTGATTTGTTCCCTTCTAACACATGGTACTCCTAGCTTGTAACAAGCCTTGGAGGAAAGGAAAGAAAGTGAACTTATGCAAAAGGCATAGGAACAGATTTTGTTTGTTGTTTTTGGAAATGTCCATTGAAATTGGCCATTACTCAAGAGAACACCTTCCTGGATCAGCCAAATCAAAGCTTTCTCTAGCCAGTTTCATCTGGAATCTCATAAACAGATTATGATAGAAATAGCAAAAAATAGGGAATTAGCAATTAAAATGTGTAATAATCCTCTTGCTTTCATAGGAATGAATCCTCATCCTTAAATCACAGAGAAATTTATATTCTCCTTACCCACTGAACTCCCTAACTAGCCAGGAGCTGAAACTCTATTCTCAGGGTCAGACATGTCCAATAAGAATTTAGTTCTTGACACAAAGATTAAAAAACAAGATTTCCAGACACATATTTACACACAAATCCTTGTATAGTCTTGCCCTTGCCAGATGAGTTATGGATAATGTGTTTGGATTTCTTTCTCAGTTCTGAATTTTCTCACAGACATGGAATTAAATTCTGAGTAAACATTTAAAGCATCAGTGATGAGAGAGGAAAAACGCAGCAATAAATTAAATATCTCTCCTCAATAGCTGATGCACAATATAGAAGGAGCAATCTTTAATAAGTTACAGTTTCGAAGCCACTAATGTGGGGGTCTTCAAACTTGGCCCTTTTATGACTTGTGGACTTCAACTCCCAGAAATCCTCAGCCGGGCATGCTGGCTAAGGAATTCTGGGAGTTGAAGTCCACAAGTCGTAAAAGGGCCAAGTTTGAAGACCCCTGCACTAACGATATGACTTTGTGAAAACACTAAACTGTTTTCAAAAAATGCAGAAACTGGAATCACTAAATCCAATAAATATGAGTCAGGAGAACTGTGATACTGGGTTGTCAGGAGAAGAAGAAGGAGAATTTCTCCCAAATAGTTTGCCACATTGCTCTGCTAACCAGCCAATTTCACATTAATAACCATAAAACTTCTAAACTGACTTGCTTGTTCATAAACCAGATTCTGTGGCCATGCAACTTGTTGCCTTAAAGTAAGTCAATATTTTTTCTCTGTCTTTCAGAGAGGAACACTTCTCTAATCCCCTTAACAGGTGCATGACTGAGGTGATGTTAGAACATGAGGTAAAATAGTAGCATTATAGTATCCGGATGTCAAATTGGTATGAGGGTTAGGGCAAAGAAGCAAGGGGGGGAAATGCTGGTTAGCCACAGAACACATTCTTGTTAGAACAGAAACACAACTCAATATAATGTTTAAAATATTTCCAGAGAGAGAAAGATCTCAAGGCAAGTATTTATGGTTCCATAACATATCCTGGGGTATATTGTATTAACTACAGCATACTGGCATCTAGCTTAATAGATAAAAAGCTGTAAAAATGCAGCATCTAATTTTTCCTAATCACACATGCATAAATGAATTCCCTTAACTTATTTCTGCTTTGTAACTGCATATATTTCAGTCACTATGCAATATAACCAAAACTAAGAAAAGAATTGTCTTTCCCCTGTAAAAAATATCATTTTCTAAATTGCTATCTGGATTCTTAAATGTACCTTTCTATCTTCAGCTATGAATTCTCTGCAATTTAATTACTGTCTAAAATACTGTTCGGTTTAATCATACTTGCATATGTCTAAAGACTTGTTTCTCTCTTTCTCCCTTTCCCTCCCCCTCTTGTTTTTGTTTCTTTTCCTCTTCACAAAACTGCTTCAATGCAATTTGTTTTAGGCAGTATATAAATACGGTACAAACTAAGGCAATTAGCTCCTCCATCAGGTTTCTTGTGCTGGTTTTCCTCTGGGAAACTCATAATTTTCTTCCTCCAAATACCTATCTATTAATGCACAATATTCAAATTGTTCTGAGTTTCTGCTCCTTGGCAAACTCTTTTTTCAGACCACACTTTCTTTATTTGATTCCCCATTTGGAATCATTTTTTCCTCCATCCTAGTTCACTGCCTGTCTCCCACTTTTCTTGTTTTATCTACATCTAATCCAAGAAAGTTTACCACACCTTCAACATAGGACTGAAAAAAAATTTCCACACTGAAAATAAGATTTAAGGAAAAAGATAGTTGGAGAAAAAGGAGGGTAGAGAGCAGCTCCAGTCATTGATACAAGATCAAATCATGAAAAGTAGCCTCAGGGTGGCATCAACTAAGAAATAGGGAGGGTATTTGGCAAAGGAGTTTTAAGGAGGATTTATGCATTTGCAAAGCTTGAAATCTTTTGCCCCATAAATTCTTCTCCAAAAATGAAAAAAAAAATGACCCAAATTTTTAGCCCTGTCTATTTTGAGCGGCACTGAAGGCTACAAAATTGATGTTTAGGGTGTGCATTCTGCACCTAGAAAAGATGGCTTTCAAAAATTACTATTTCATAATTTGTAATTTAACTTATAACATTCCATAGGACTGATAATCTTCCTGAAACTGGTTGGGAAAAAAAAAATCTTTGCAGAGCATCATTAGATTGCTACTGACATGTCTCCGTGTCCTTTTCATTCCATAGAGATAGCAGAAGTCCTGAAGTTACAAAGGATTGCATGAGCTAACAAAATAAAATCACGACAAAATGAAAGCTAGAGTCGATGAAAAGATCTGATCCAGGATTAAGTATATAACCTGCAGATGCATTTCCTTAAGGGAGAATGTTCACTGGTAAATTTCTGAGGCAGCAGTATTTGCCCTATATTGATACATTGGGTACAGTATTCCCAGTCAAGTTAATATTCTCCACATAGGTCAGCTTTGAAGAATTTTGGGAGGCTACAACAGTACCAAATAGCGATATCAGAGTGTGATCAATCCTCAGCGTATATATCTGTCTTCTATAATGCTGCCTATCTACCTCCAGTCCCAACTGAGAATGCCAGGTTTAATATTGTAAAAGCTTGCACACCTTAAGGACCAAACTCCTGATTTATTTACTTACTGATGTAAGGCACTTATGTGCCAGTTTTCAGCTTGAAAGATTCACAGAACATCTTACAAAATAATAAAACAAGATCATACCAACTCTCTGGTTAACAAATGTAAAAGTCATGAGACAAGAAATGAGAGGAGGGAAGGAAAACAAAACAAAAACCCCAGCATTGTAGCTAAGTTGATTGAAATCTTTTTCTGATGACCCAGTGACTCTCAGGGCAGATGGTTCTGCTGCTTTTCCTTGTGGAAATGACTTTTTAAGGAGAGAGAACAGAAGTCAAGTCAATTCAATCTTGGTATCAGAAGTAAAACTATCTGAAATTGTTACAGAAGTACATATTCAGATCTGAAAAGGCAATGTTTTCAGATTATTTGAACTATATATTTATGTATAACTCTTATAGTGTAACAGAGCAGTTTCCAAATATCTATTACAACGCTGTGTTTAAACGCAATACTGGAACAAAAATTAGGTGGTGTTCATAAAATACCAGGGTGATTCAAACAACTTATTCCCTGCTTTGGGATTTTTCTCATATTGTCCTTTCCTACCTGTCAAAAAATTCTAGTAAGGTTCTACGAGTCTGCCCTCAACCTATGGTGATGGGTGTCCACAGGGAAGCCAATGACTTAATGAACATTGAAACATAACCTACAACCCTTCCACATGTGTATTATGGCTTCTCATGCACATATATAAGAGGAGAGCTTGCATCATGACCTTGCAACATTCATTTAGCCCTTTTAATGAAACCACAAGACGCTCTGCTTATAACAAAGGTACTTTCTCTTCCAATGTAAGTAATTAATAATTGCTTTTACCCTCCCATTTTCTTATAGACCCATAACACATTATTCTTTAGTTTTCTTTTATATGAGCAAAATAGCCATTGCTATGTCTAGAAAAGCATGTTGAGATAGAAGAATATATACAGGCAATCTTTGATTAATGGCCCTACTTGGGATCAGCAACTCTATTGATAAGTGAAACACCATATGACCATACTGACTTACAATGGCAGTTCCAGTAGTCCTGGTTGCAATTATTAAGTGAGACCTCACACAACCATAACTAGCAACTTCCTGCCAGCTTCCCCATTGCTTGTTAAAAGCCAGCTATGAAGGTTACAAATGGCAGATGACTGCAGAATGCTGCACTATTGTAAGAGTTTGACAGCTGACAAACACCAGAATCATGATCACGTGACTGTGGGGAAACTGCAATGGTCATAAGTGTGAGTCACTTTTTTAAGCACCATTGTAAATTTGAACAGTCGCTAAGCAAATGGTAATTAAGCAAGAACTATCTGCACTGCAAAGAGAGAAATAGGATTTTTTTTAATATTAAATCACAGCAATCCAGAAAACACAAATGAAAGAGCCCCTTTAAATATGTCCTTACTAAATTATATTAAAGATATGCTTTGTATAGGCAGAAAGTATTTACAGGCTATGAAACCATGAAATAAAAAAAAATGAGCCCTGTACAGTACTGAATGTTAATGCATTTGTACATGATAGATTTAATACAGAAACCAAGAAGAAATGACTTTCAGCAGCAGCTCTCTCTACCTATAAATTGCTCTTGCTACTGCAAAATCCATACTAAGAACAGCTGTATAATTTACAACATCAGCATTTGTCAAGAAAAGCAACAAATGGGTTCTTTTTCAGCTAAGAAGGAGCACCA